TATGGTATAATCTTTTTTTAGGAAAAAACTTGCAAAGAATTAAAGTATCAACTTCAAGTTCAGACAGAAAGCTCACAAAAGGAACAGAATGAACTAAAGAATTCACTTGAAAAAGAGAAGGAGGTAAGATTTTACCTTTTCTGTAACATAAATATATAAAGTATAATAAGGGCTTTATATTTCAAAACATTTTATCCTGATAGGTGAAAGATTTATGTTTCTGAAATGGAATGGAATGAAAAAAAAAAAATAAAAGCTATAAATACAGAAACATAATTAATAACAGAAAATAATTGATGACTAACTAGAGCATTATAATTAGATACTCTAGGTTAAGGAACTTTATTATGATATTTTTGGGCTATTTATTTGACGGACATTTATATTAATGATATATTTGATAATGATTGTGTAATAAGAGTTATTTCTCTTGCTCTCCAGCTGGAGCACACAAGTAAATGAGAAAATGCATGTGTATAATACAGAGTTGTTACTGTCTGGAGATAGTAGCTGCAGTGTAGGCATGCAGCTGTCTGGAGGATCTGGTTTGATAAATGAAGCATAGTCCTGACAAATGTTTGATGTCACTGAGTCCTGATTCTTCACTGAAACAGGATGCTTGGACTGTAGATGCCGGTTATGGAAGTGGCCACATTATAGGGACTCAGTGTCCAGACTGAGCCAGAATCGTCCAAATTTGTATCCTGCTATGCTATTGATTAGTTATGCTGTCTTGCTATATTTGAAGGTTACTTAGTCTCCTGGTGTTTCATTTTCCTCAATAATAAAATGGGGCTAATCATCATCATCATCATCATGTGTTGTGAAGTTATTGTGAGAAATAAATGGGTTGATACAAAGTGCTCACAATGCTGACTGTAACAAAATAAATGCTCTTATGTTAGATATTATTTTATCATTGTTATAATCATGCTTAATGTTACACTTATGTTTTGCACAAAAATATTTGGCTTTTCATTGAAGTAAGCTGAGGCATCTGTGTATAGCACCAAAAACATTGTGAAGAGTAGTCTAATATGGTCAGATGTGCAAATGTAATTGTAGATTATTAATAAAATATACATAAATCATGAATATATGATTTTGACTGGAAAGGCAGAAAATAATAATTTTCCTTGGCCCCGGAGGAACCTTGGGGTGACTTGTGTATGACTGGAACCATATCCTAGTAGAGTGTGAAAACAAAGTAGCAAAATACGTCTGAGATGTCTAAATTAGGTAACTATTATGCAGTGTAATTTAGTGTTATAGACTTATACTAAAATGTTTGCTAAAATAAATTTTATTTGTATCATACTTAGAGCTGTTCTTTCTGATTAGCTGTGGCCAACAAGCTCTGTGGCATTTGAGAATATTCTTGAAAGTGAATAGACAGTTCAGCAGTATGGATTCTGATGTTGATATTCCTGTTCTCTGTGATACAAAGTCATACTGATCCAGTTCATTTACCACTCTCTAAGTACATAATTATAAGCCAAAAAGGAAGGCAAGATTAAACAAAGAAGATTAATTTGTACGTCATCTACTAGTGAATGGTGCCAGTTATGAAAGCAGAATGAATGCTGAAGTATTTCTCTTTGTTAACTACTGATCATCTGTGATCAACAGACCCAGTAGTTTCTACCACGAGTAGTGGCTGGCAGTTATTACGTACTCAGTAAACATCTTTTTAGTGAATAAAGAAATGAAAAAAGGTTTCTTTTCTTTTAGGCTTCTCATCAGTTGACATTGGAACTCAGTTCAACTAAGGAACAAGTTATAGAGGCTCAAAATACTTTAAAACTAAAAGAAAAAGAACAGCAACAACTTCAGGGGAACATAAAAGAGCTAAAGCAGTTGATTGAACAGAAGAAAAAGCAAACAGAAGCACTCCAAGGAGAAGTTAAAACTGCTGTTTCACAGAAGGTATTTGTTTACTTTTCATAGGAAGAAAATGTTGGCAATTAACATAATATGATTGAGCCAGGGATTTGACTCAGTGGTTCCACCACCTGCCTCACAAGTGCGAGGGCCCGAGTTCTATCCCAGGTACCAAAAAAAAAAAAAAAAAAAAAAAAAAAAAAAAGATTGAAACAGATGAATTGTATCATGAATGTTTATACATGCTCAGAATTTTTTCACTTATGCTTGATTATGTGTTTAAGTGTCCAAGTCTGACTTTCCATTCACCATAACCATATTATCAGGGAATTCTTATTTTAATTTCTAATAATAATTGTTTGTCTGATAAATATGAAAGTACCTTTTTGTAAAACAAGGCTGGTCTTGAACTCACTGTATAGCCCATGTTGGCCTCAAACCTGTAGCAATCCTCTTGCCTCAGCACCCTAAGTGCTAGGATTATAGATATGCACCACCATGGCCAGCTAGTAGTGTCAGATTTCTTATACTCTATCTGATATTTTTAGCTGCATCAGAATGTTTTCCCTTTCCGATATTAAATGCATAATTTATTATTAAGCATCAGTTATTCATTCCTAAATATGTTTTAATACTTGTATAGAACAGCAGTTGGTGAAAGTTGATTATATTTAATGTAAAATATTTAATATAAAGTATATCCCCACTGTTGGCATGTGCATATTATTTGGGGAGAGGAGAGAAGTGGACTGTAGTTCTAGAATACACTGACCATTGTCATGCGAGTAAGAGTTGGTTGTCATACTCCTAGAGTAAAAGGAATCCAAATTAGAAAACCATAAGTACACGTTGTATTTTCAACAGTATTTTATAACTGTTATTCTACATTACAAAGGAGTAATTTCCTAATAACAGAAGCAAGAGTCATCTATTTGTCCATGTGTTATATATTATCAAAAGTCAGGATGTAATTATCACAATGCATATTATACTGCTCACTTTGATATCTTCACATACAAATATTCCTAGGAATTTAATTTTTATAGCAGTATAATTAGTTTGAAAAATACAGCTATTACTACATTTTCCCCTGCATTACATTGGTTGTTACAGTTAAGATTTCATTCAGATTTATTATTAGTATTTATTGTCCATTTCTTGCACACCTTTACTAGATGATAATTGAGATTTAGAGATAGTGGTCTTATTGGTAGTCATTTTTATATGAGTGTATGGGTTTCCAAAATCGGGAACCTGCTTCTTGACATTGAGAAGGGCAGTGTTTTGGAGTGCTGGGTACATAGCCAGTATTTTAAAATTAGACTTGGAATTTAGAGTAACTGGAGAATCATTGTAATACAAAAGCAGTTTTTTTTATTGAGCATTGAAGCATCATGAAAGAAGTTAAGTTTTGGAGCTGGGAGATCTGAATTCAAATTCCATGGGATGCCCATTAGTTTAGTGGTCACAGGGAGATAATTCCTCTTTCTGAGCTCAGCAAAGTAAGGTTACAGGGTTGAAATGATTGAGGTAGTGTATTCAAAGTAGTGACTGTACAGTAAGTGGCAGTGCAGTGTGGAAGTAGACAGTTGACTATTACACAGAAGTACAACCGACTGATCTCAGAGTGTTAGTGTACCTGGTGGACAATAGTGGTAGACAGTTGTCATTGTCATTGGCTCACAGGGCAACAGGAAAGACAAGTGTAAAGTTTAAGTGGGAGTAAGGGTGTGTGTGTGTACACAGACATATAAAACATATGTGAAACAAACACTAAAGTATATAAAACAAATCTATAAGACATAAACATGCAGGTTAACTGTAGGCCAATAGTCTCTGCACCACGTTTATTCCAAACCTAATATGGAAACAGCATGAATAGGGTATGAGTTTTGGAGGGGTTTTTTTGTTTGGCTTTTTTGAGACAGGGCCTTGCTCTGTAATTCTGGCCTTGACCTTGTAATGATCCTCTTGCCTCAGCCTCCTGAGCACTGGGATTACAGGTGTGTGCCACCATAGGATATTATAATCTTAAGTAGTTTATCATTTAATGAGGAAAACTGGAGGTGTAACAGAGCTCTCGGCATTCACTGAGGTCAGCTGGAATGCCACCGTAAGAGCTGACAGAGATATTAACTACTACTAGACTCAATAGGAGAGCAAGCAAATGAAATACGGAAAAGGGGTTCAGAGATGCTGTTGTTCTCAGAGTGACAGAACCATGCTGCCTCCCCACTGGGCATGACCAGAATCTGGGACAGTATTAGCAGACGTTCCGGCAGACCCCTGGTGAGGAGCCCAGCCCAGGTCTTGGAGATGGAGCCACCCTATGCAGACGGAGCACAGAGCAGTCAGGGAAAGGAGGGCAGTGAGCGACTAGCCCCAGGCACTTACTCCATCCAGATCCCTGCCCCCAGCCCTGCTGGAACCCCATGGTCTCCCTGCCAGGACACAGCTCAAAAGCTGCGACAATAATAGAGAATCCTGTCCAGGAGGGCAGAGCCCAGCCCAGGCCTGGAGTCCTAGCTGCCCTCTGATAATGCTGACTTGTTAAAACCTTCAGGAGAGGAGGGTGGGGTGACTGCAGCTTCCCACTTGCCCAGTCAGCGCTGCTCACTTTGCACAGGGTCTGGGGTGGGGGGTGGAATGAAGCAGCCTATATTAACTGAATAAACTTCCTTTCTAACCTGGAAGCTGCCAGAATCAGAGGGCTGAGTAAGCTGGGAGAGGGTACCCAGGAGTTCCAGAGATGGGAAAAAATCTTAAAGTTAGCAGTGGACAGAGAATCCCTGGCTGGCAGGGACTGGAGGGAGAAGAATAAATGCACCACCAAGGGTCCTTACACCCATAGTGGGTGCGCCTCAGGAGTATACCCAACTGTGCAGGTTTATGAGAGAATAGAATGGTGTACTTCATTTTAAGGATAGTTAGAATCTACTGGAGAGTTTGAACAGCGTTGTGATTTGACTAAAGGGAAATAAAGGAGCAAACAGGAGGCACTGAAAACTATAGGAATGAACTGGACAGTACATGATGATGGCATGAACTAAAGTGTTAGAACTGAATGGCCGGAATATGTTTGTGGAAGTCAAGTCATCAAGACTTTTGATAGGTTAGATGGAGAATAATAGAGGAATTAAAGATAGCTGTCAGCTTGAGTTTGTGCACACGAGTATTTTGTGATCCATTTATTGGCGCAAGTAGCCTTTTGATGTTTAGGGATGTTGTCAGAAATCAGGTGTTCTGCTTGAGATAGGTATCTTTTTATCATTCAGTTAGAGATAAATTTGAACTACTATAAATAAGAAATATTTAAATCATAGCTATAGTTGAGATCTTTGAAGGAGAGAGTGTATATACAATTTTTCTTTTTTTGGTACCAGGGATCAAACTCAGGACCTTGTGCTTTTGAGATAGGTGCATTGCCACTGGGCTAAATCCCCAAGTCTAAGTGTTTATACACTTATAGACCTGAAACTCAACAGGAGTTTCACTGAACTAGTATTTTTATTTTATTTTTTAAAAGTTTTAGTTGACTTAGCAATTGTGGATATGGTTTAATGGGTATAGTGCAATAATTCTGTATGTGTATGTAGTGTTTAATGATCAGATTAGAGCAATCAACATTTCTATATGTTTAAATGTTTATCATGTCTTTGTATTGGGAAATTTCAAACTCTTCTAGTTCTTTATAAAATACATAGTATATCGTTATAAACTTTTTTTTTTTTTTTTTGTACCAGGATTGAACTCAAGACCTTTTCCTTGCAAAGCAGGCGTGGTGCCACTGAGCTAACTCCCTGCCCCAAATTGTTATAAACTACAGTCACTCTGTGGCATTACACAGCACTAGAATTTATTCCCCCATTTAATTGTACTTTGGTACCTATGATCCAGCTTGTCTATACCCTATGTCCTTACTCTTCCTAACCTCTGGTAGCCATTATTCTACTCTCCACTTCTGTGATAGGTAGTATATTCATTTCAAAGTCCACATACTTTGCTTCTTTCTTTTTCCTTCCCTCCCTCTACCCCCTTTTTTTCCTCTCTCCCTTTTCCCCTCTCTCTCTTTCTGTCTGTCTCTGTCTCTGTCTCTTCTTCCCCCCTCCCCATTGATTTGTTTTTGAGACAGCATCTCACTACGTAGTTCAGGCTGGCCTTGAACTCACTGTATAGTCCAGGCTGGCTGCCAACTCACGACAGCCCTCCTGCCTCATCCTCCCAAGTGCTAGGATTATAGGCATACCAGCTACTTGTTTTTCATATTCTGCATGTATTTTGATTATGTCATAATGTCTGTGTATTTCCAAATCTTTTTTAAAACTAAGGAAAAGTAGAATCTAGAAAAGCTTGGACCTTTGTGAGACTTTTCCTGACTTTTTGTTAATAAATATGACCTGTAGAAATTTTCTAAGGTGTTTTTACATTTCCAACAGTATAAACTGTCTACATCAACACAACACACTAACAGCATTTTAATTTCTTTCAGGAAGTTTCTTTTAGTTAAGTCTTAAAATATGTCTCCTTAGCACCTAACGCTGTTTCTTCCATCAGAATAGTTATCCTCTGGTTCCTGAGGCCTGATACTTAGTACTTCCTAGAGAAAAGCTTTTTTTCTCTTCACTTAATCACTTTTGCATTTTATAGTTTTAAAATTGAGGTGCGTTGAATTTTATAATTCTCTCACTTTATAAGTAACTTCATCAAAGTGGACTTTTAGGGCATAAATGTACTTCACTTTGTTTTCAGGAATCTTCTTAGTTGCGTGCATTTCCTTTTGTATTTGTAGCTGAGTTTTTTTGTGCATGCTATTTTAAATAATGACTGTACGTTTCAGGCAGAGCTTGAGAATAAATTACAGCAACAGTCAGCGCAAGCAGCACAGGAACTTACAGCAGAGAAAGAGAAGATATCAGGCTTACGAAATACTTATGAAAAATGCCAGGAAAATCTAAAACAGCTTCAATCTGACTTCTATGGGAAGGAGTCTGAACTTCTAGCCACGAGGCAAGATCTTAAGGTAAAGTACATTGTTTGTAGATGTTCCTTAAATGATTCATTTGAGCCCTGATAGACAAAGCAATATTACTTTTGTGAAATATACTTTTTCATATTAAATTATTACTTTTGGGTTATCATGTTTTTTAAAAAATCATATTTTTTGTAAGGAAATATTGATATATATAAATGTGGGCATTTAAAAATGTTATCTCTATAATTTGGTGCCTGTGTTTTTTTTTTTTTTGGTACCGGGGATTGAACTCGGGTCCTTGGCTTGCAAGGCAGGCCGCCAAACCACTGAGCTAAATCCCCGGCCCTATTGGTGCCTCTTTTAATCGTTGCACTATTAACTTATCTGAGGATTTTGATGTCTTTATTTGAAAAAAAATGGGCTTAGTTAAAACTAAGGAGTTTTAAACATAAACTATTTATGAAAAATTGTAAACAACTTTGTTGTTACTTGTCAGGCAGTACTGACTTTAGTTTTCTAAATTTATCAACTTCCCAAGATTACTGGACTGCCTACCGATTAATATTAGGAGATTATAGCTCAAATTAACTTTAATTGTCTAACAGCATGTAGAAATTGTACCCTGAGTAATATTATTAATTAGATAAAGCATCACATTAACAGGACATGGAAAAAGGGTAAACAGTTCTTTAAGGAACAGAATGAATATTGGTATTTCTCACGGAAGATTCAGCCACCCCCACTACCCTATGAGGAAGTGAAATATCTCTGTTTCTTTCCTGTGTTCAGGATTTTTATTTGCTTTAAAATACATTATTGAAAAATTCTACTGAAAATCACAGAATATCAAGATGTCTTATAAATACAGTGTATATATTTTATTCATAGGCCCTTGCAGGGAAGGTTTTTAAGGAGATAGTGCTTGCCAAGGTCCTGAAGCAGTGTACAGTGCAGAGAGGACTGAGCAAAATCGTTTTGCTCTGGGGCACCTTGGAGAAAAGTTGCCTCTGGAAGTGAGCAAAGGAGGGCACATTTAATGGCTGTCTTGTTGGAGTGCTGGTCTAATTTAGGTGAAAAGGTTAGGTCTAAATTGTGAAATACCTGCTGCCCGACAAAGACAGTTGAATTTTGTATTTGAGGAAAAAGTGATGAGTCTAGGCAGAGAAATAAAGGAAGAAAGTACTCTTTTAGGAAACTTAATCTGGCATAGTTTAAAGAAACTTGGTTTGACTAGAAGAGGGAGATTAGTTAAGGCATTATCTCTCTTAATACATTTGAGTTATCAGAATCTAATCTGTTTGGTTAAAACTAGGATTAAAGTTAAGGAAGATGGAATAAAAGATGAATGAGGGACAGAGGTAAAATAAAGGGCAGAATACATAGGCTGCAGGCAGTGAGGGTGATAATCAAGAAGTACGAGACTGGGTAAAACACTTTGCATTAGTGCCAATAGTGTGTACTTAAACATACTGTACACAGCAAGATCAGAAGATCAAAATTAGCAAGAAAAAAACAGGAAACCATATTCATAGTTTTTTTTAAATAGAAATAAAAAGTACCATTTGACATTTAGGTGGTGTTAAATTATTTTCTTCACAACACTTGTAAGGCAGGGAAGACTTGTGGAGGAATCTGGACTTAACTATAGGCATTGAGGAACCGTGGAAAGGAGTTGAATAATTCATATTTCAGGCAAATCTCTGGCTACAGAGTAGGGAGTGGAGTGTGTGGGAACAGAGCAGAAAGTACAAAATGATGGTGGTTTGGGCTGATAGTAACAGTAAGGATGGAAAAGGTAGGTGAATTTGAAGGATATTTGAATGGTAGAAGAGATGACATTTAACGATTGATAGCAACAGTCCTCTAGAAATCACTCTTTTCCTACTGATACATCATGTACCTGGAGTATAACCTAATAACAGGACATATAGCTCTTAAATAAACTTTCACTAAGTCAATAATATTTAGCTTGTAAGCTGCATTGTACAGTAATAGTTTCATACATGAAAGAATAATTCAATGTAAACCTAAACCAGAAGAGAAAGCAGAGGGATAGATTGGCGCAGCATCTGACAACCAAGAGAGGCCTTGGATAAACCTTGTTTTCAACAGCTATCTTTTACAGGTGAGGGTAGACCCAGTGCTGTGTAATAACAGAACCATGATTAGATCTTAGTTCTTTTTCAAAGCCCTCTGTTCTTTCTTTTACCACCATTTCACTAGTTTCTTTTTTTGACAAAATAATTTTTTTATAAATTCTGTACTAATGCTTCTAAAATAAGAAGTCCGTGAACTACTTAGAAAGTTAATTTTAAGAAGTTTAAATCCTAAAGAAGTTCAAATGGTATTTATAGACCAAAGTAAGAGATAACTGCCAACTGTTATTTTTCTTTAGCTGCAGGGGTGTTCTATGTTGCTTATAAAAGAGAAGCAGAGATACAGAGGCTCTGTAACCCGACACCTACTAAAGTCAAGCCTCCCTGCACTCCACTGGGCTGCACAGAAGGCAGCCTGTCCTGATCTGTGCCATTAGCCCCATCTGCTGGAGCAGTTCTGAAATACTTTATTGACTGAATATTTCAAGTTGGCTATGCCATGTGCTAGTCTTCGTTGTTCAGAAAAGGTAGAAGTCAGATTTAACACTCAGTGAAATAAAATTTCTAGGGTAATAAGTTTGGAACTGAATATAAATCTTAATCTAGTACCACATCTTATGCCGTTTTATCAGACACCAAGAAAAAGTAATTTACAACTAAAATTGTAAAGGTTTTATTTTGCAAGAAGAATGAGAAAACATGTTAAATAGACAAAGTAATGGCTAACACAAGACACTGCAGAACTTCTCTTTTGCTGGGGTATGATAATGAGATTGGCAGAATTGGTATCACAGTTGGTAGTTGATCCACTGAGGGATATGTGCCCACTGCAGTTGATTATGGATGCATTAATGATAGTTTCAACAAAGCCATGGACTAAGAGGAGGAGGTTGTCCAAGGGAAAACGTGCTGAACAAAGTTAACATCTTCCACAAGAAAGATAAAGCAGCAGGCCACAATAAGAAAGATAAAAAGAACACATAAGATGCACAGCAGTGTACCATGGAACAGCATAGATGGATGTTCAGAGGCAAGGTAGAGCAACACGCCTTGGCATCTTCAAAAAGGACTTCATGGAGCAGTCCAATTTGAGTTTGACTTTAAAAAGCTAATCATTGGGGTTTGTGAGTTTAATATGTTATAGGCTGTGGGTTTAAAATTTTATAAACCATGGACATTTTGAATTTTTTATGGACCATTTAGAAATATTTTGGAATATTAGGGGTACTGTTGCTTTTTAGGCTGTGACAAGCCTTGGTATTTAATATTAGATTAGGATCACTATTACCTAATAATGGTTGGCATAGACTAATGGACTAATTAATGTGTTACTCAGCATTTCATTGCTGTGACAAAATACCTGAGATAATAGCATAAAGGAGGAAAGGTTTATTTTGGCTCAAGTTTGAGAGGTTCTAGTTCATGGTCGTCTGGCTCCATTGCTTTTAGGCCTGGGACAAAACAGAAGTCGCATGGTGGAAGGGTCTGACAGAGGAAAGCTCTTCATCTGATGGTGCCCAGGAAGCAGAGCGGGGGGGAAGAGACTTAGAGAACGGCACTGGGATATCCTCCAGGATCACACCCTGTGACCTAGTCTTTCAGGGTGGCCCCATCTCCTGTTTCTGTCATCTCCTAGTAATGCCAGCACATTATGGATCAGTCACTGGGTCAATCCACTGACAGGGTTAGCGTTCTTATGATGCAGTTAGTTTTCAGGAGCCCATCGGCTGGCATCCAGGCCTTTAGTACATAGTCTTTATGAGACCCTTCACATTGAAGCCACAACAACAAGGCTTTGCAAATTTTATTCTTTTCATGCAGAATATTTTGCAGCCTTTGTGCTATGCAGGTCAGTTCCCACATGTATATTCTGGAGCTTTCTGTAAGCCATACTCCATGTACAGAGGGTCCTGCTCGCATTACTTTTCTGTGCATTTGGCTCATAGGTGTTCTGCTACCCTTTACAATTTGTATTTATATGATTATCTTGGTTTTCAGTCTGCTTAGCTCACAGATGGCAAGTAAAGGACCATCTTAAACCCTCCCATTATGCCTTCGCAATGCACACAGTAAAGAGTTAGGTGTCTGGTTAATAAATAACTAGCTAACTTTAGATCTTACCAGAAAAAAATTTAATTTATATCAAAAATAATTCTAATTGAGTTACTGGTAAGGAGTAAACTTATTAAAGTTTTTGGCATGACCAGGCATATCATAGAGCCTACTCTACATATCCATGCACATATATATATACATACATACATACACGTGTGCCATATCTCTTTTAAGATTGTTTTCTTCTCTATCTCCTGCTCTCCTCTAACCATACCTCCACCTGTTTTCTGAGTATATTTGATACCTTTTCTAATGATAAACGATATCTCTCACATTGCCTAGTGTTGAAGGTGTGATGATCATTGAGTAGTTTTAGATTTTTTTCTAGAAGTTTTAGAATTATTTCAATTTTGCTGAAATTTTTATATCATTAATATTTTTTGATGGGCATGGGAATTAATAGTCAAGAAATTTTTTCTTCTATATGATCTTACTGAAAGGACTAACACGCTATCTTTATATAATACGATTGTGTGCCGCATAATGACATCTCAGTTGGTGACAGGCTGCATAAACAATAGTAGTCTCAAAGATTAACGTGGAAGTGAGCAGTTCCTGTCACCTAGATTTTTACTAGGTCTTTCTTCTGTTTGGGTATGTTAAACACATACCAGTATCTTCCTGTAATATTCAGCAGTCACATGCTTCACAGGTTTGTGGAAGGTGTGAAGTAGGCTGGATTGTCGAGGTTTGGGGAAGGACACTCTGTGATGTTTACATGACGAAATCAGCAAACGAGAATGTCTAGAACTTGTCTCATCATTACATGATACGTTACTGTGTCTTATTTTCCATATTTATATTAGCTGTTATTTTTTGTTGAAATTTGCTTAAAATGACATATAATAATTTAGGATTTTTTTTTTTTTTTGTAAGTCTGTAGAAGAGAAGCTTTCTCTAGCACAGGAGGACTTGATTTCAAACAGAAATCAAATTGGAAACCAAAATAAATTGATTCAAGAACTAAAGTCTGCCAAAGCTACTTTGGAGCAGGATTCAGCAAAGAAAGAGCAACAGTTGAAGGAACAGAGTAAAGCACTACAAGAAACGCTAAAAGAAAAGGTATTTTTTCTGACTTAAATTCTGAGTCTTAGAGTAGCTATAGTCTTACACATACCACTTTTATTTTCAACCACTTTAAAATTATTGTTTAACAAGTCCTTATATTTTACAGTCAGTGAAAGAAAAAGAACTAGTGAATGAAAAATCTAAATTGGCAGAGATAGAGGAAATTAAGTGTAGACAAGAAAAAGAAATCACTAAATTAAGTGAAGAACTGAAGTCTCACAAACAAGAAAGTATAAAGGTATGATAGATAAATAATTTTCTCTTTGTATATGTTGTATTATTGTTCTTTAAACTTATATATTAAAGAAGCTGATGGAGAAACTGCTCTGTGCTAGTCCAGTTGTTTTTTTTTTTACAAATACTCTTGCCAGAGTGCTATTTTACTTATCTATACATACATTGAAGCAATGTTACTTTTGTTATCAAATTGCTAAATAAAAGAGTTTAGATTTCATTGAAATGGTAATAAAGATTGATGTCATTTAGGAAATTATGCTCATAAATATGCAAGAATTAAAAATTTTAAGGGATTCTGTTTTTGCAATACTTTTCTAAAATTCCTTAATCTTTTTACATTATATCTATTATAAGAATAAGGCTATCAGTTAAAGGCTGTTTGTTGTTTGTGTTATAAAATTAATTTTCTTAGAAAAGGACAAGATTCTCTCTTGATAGCTCTTAGAATCATTTATATCTGTCATTGTACCTGGCATTTTTCATCATAATTTGTTATCTCCTGTCCTTCTGTTTCTCCAGAATGTGACTTCCTGAGAGCAAGGAATGAGTATAACTCTCTATATCCTCAGAACATGACACACTCAATACTACCAAAATGATGACAGATAAATGCTTGTTAAGTGAGAAAAAGAAAAGTAGGGAGTGGAGATTTTTTCCCCATACTGATAGTAGAATCAAAACATACGCGTCCCAGACTGGGGATTTAGCTTAGTGGTTCTGCCACCTGCCTTGCAAGCACAAGGTCCCAAGTTCGATCCCCAGTAAAAAAAAAAAAAAAATGTGCATCCCAAATATCACTGGAATTAAATGATAGCTGAGAAAGTAAATATTCTTGTACCGTTTTAACCAATTGTTTACTGAATTTGAAAAACTGCGCAAGGAATAAACTCATTGCTGTGGTAAATTGCATAAACTTCAGCTACCTTTTGAATATTTACCATTAAGCGTGATTTATATCTTGGCCTTTTCAATAGGAGATAACAAATCTCAAGGATTCGAAACAGCTTTTGATTCAACAGAAATTAGAACTTCAAGGAAAAGTAGATTCCCTGAAGGCAGCTCTGGAGCAGGAGAAGAGAAACCAGCAGATGCTGAAAGAACAGCTGAAAAAGAAAGAAGATGAACTAAAGAAAGAATTTAGTGAGAAGGAAGCTAAACTGGTCAGTGAGTTAACGATGGGGACTATGCTTTGTAATAGAGATTTAAATCAGTCCCGGGAAAGGGCTTTTCCTACTGCAAGTTTTGAAATCGTTTCTTAACATTTTAATTTTAAGTCTGATTTGCCTAAATAGCTGACATGTGATTAGACATATTCTCCAGTCATATTTTGGTTTACATAAGTAAAAGTTCATTTAAAATATAATTTTAAAAAATTTTTAGTACTGGAACCAAACAAACCTATGACCATAGATTGGAGAATATAGTATAAAGTATAATCATGTTAAGCTCATTTATTTGGTCAAAACAAACATGAACATTGGTGAGGGGGAATGGAAATTTTTGTTTGGAATTATGGTGACAGGTCTGCTTTTCCTTCCCTAAGTTGTGCATGCCAAATGGGAAGCATCTGGCTTTCCTTTGTTGAATTAACTCCAAATATTTCCAGATAACTTGATGGCTAAATGTTTTTAGTTGAAGACCTCCAATTTTAGTTTGGTGATTCAAAGGCCTTGCATTGTTCTTTAGCAGATTGATAGATTAAAGCATGTATTGAAAGACATAAGGAAATGATAGCTTTCTCTAGCATAGGGCATCCTGCAATCCCTAGCCATGTGTGTCTTCCTCTGTTTTGGTGGAAAAATGAAGAATCTTAACTTGTGTCACTTCAGCTTGGTCTTCAGAGAGGCTTGCTAACCATTGCTTCAGCGTTGTGGCATTTGTGTCCATTCAGTTTGTACAGGCTTTTAGGAATCAGTTTTATTAGGGTATAATAAATGTATTTGCCTCCTTTCCTAAAGAAGCAGTATTTACATTGCTAATATTTAAGCTTAATAATTAATTCACATTGATTTGATATACTTTTATAATAAGTTTTCTTCCTTTTTTACTCTTTTCTCAGCATTCTGAAATAAAAGAAAAGGAAATAGGAATGAAGAAACATGAAGAAAATGAGGCTAAGTTTACCATGCAGATCACAGCATTGAATGAAAATTTAGGCACTGTAAAGAAGGAGTGGCAATCTAGTCAACGGAGAGTTAGTGAGCTGGAGAAGCAAACAGATGACTTACGGGGTGAAATTGCAGTGTTAGAAGCCACCGTTCAGAATAATCAAGATGAAAGGAGAGCACTACTAGAAAGGTGATTGTTGTTGAGTAAAGTCAGTTTATTTCTATTATAAGGGATAAAACTTTGTCATATTCCACATTTTCAAAAGAGAAAAGCATGTAATCTCAGCACATATTTAAGTAGCTTATCTAAAAATTAACACTTAAAATAATCTGGTGAAATTAATATAACGTGCTGGAGGGGCTGTGGGGAAAAAGGAATCTTTTTCCACGGCTGGTGGAGTAAAGACTGGTGCAACCACCGTGGAAATCAGTGTGGAGATTTCTCAAAAAACTAAAACTAGAGGTCCATTTGACCCAGCTATACCTCTTCTTGGTATCTTCCAAAAGAATTAAAAGCATCCTACCACAATGATATATGCATAGCCATTTATAACAGCATAGTTTGAAATAGCTAAATCTTGGAAACAGCCCAAATATCCATCAACTCAGGAGTAGGTAAAGAAGATGTGCTATTTTTTTATACAATAGAGTGCTACTCTGACATAAAGCAGGATAAGCTTCAGATATTTATAGCTAAGTGGATGGCCCTTGAGACCATACTCTTAAATGAAATAAATTGGACACACATGTTTAAATACAACATTGTTCCTTTGGTGTGAGAAACTGAATGTGGAAATAAGGACTGAGATGTATAATGGATGTTGGGAAATGGGAATAAAGTGTTCAAATGGGAAGGGGAACAGGAGAGGAGGGAGGAAGGAAGAGACAAAAAGTGAAAATAGAAGAAAATAATGGAAACAAATCTTTTGTACATAGGGAGTGGAGGGGACTTAAAAGGGGGGGATGGGAAAAAATAAAATAAAAATTGTTTTAAAAAGTAATATATATATAAACTTACTAATATAATACATTGCCTGTTTTCCAGAAGGATCATTAATGTTTTTTAAAAAATTAATTGTCTCTTCACTATTTATTCCAGGTGCCTTAAAGGAGAAGGAGAAATAGAAAAGCTTCAGACCAAAGTACTAGAGTTGCAAAGAAAGCTGGATAATACAACTGCAGCAGTGCAGGAGCTAGGCAGGGAAAACCAGTCCCTACAGGTCAGTCCCCTGGTGACTTGTGGCGGTTTCTTGGTCTAAAATTGACCTCTTAGTGAAAAACATATTTTCACTCCAGCAATAATGGTGTAGTTCAAGAGCCATTGCCTAGCATCTACAAGGCCCTGCCTTCTAGCACTGCAAAACAAAAAAAGCGAAACTAAAATAAAACCAAGAGAACCTCATTTGTTTCAGAGTCATAGAGATTAGTTTGCGATCCATGTCATTCTTGAATTGCCTATATCGGGAAAGAATTACAGAATTCAAAATTAAGAGGGATGGATAAATCAGTATGTGTAAAAGAAGACACAGAATCTTGGAATCTCAGACTCTTAGAGTTAGAATGAAGGCGAAATCACCAAAGGCTAGACATTAGTACCTCTTAAGAAGTAAATCTTGTTTAGTGTTCTTTTGCCTGTTTTAGTTTTATTCAGATTTATGAGTGCTACTATTTTTGACAAATGGAAATTCACCAAAATACAATATATCTGTTTTTAAAATTTTTATTCAGTGTTGCATATAGGCAAACTTTTATATATATCTGACACCTTAGTAGAAATAATCTGTCATTCTTTAAAATATTACATAATTTGTTGAAACTTTTTGTTTAACAGATCAAACATACACAAGCACTGAATAGAAAATGGGCTGAGGACAATGAAGTACAAAACTGTATGGCCTGTGGGAAAACCTTTTCAGTTACAGTAAGACGGGTAAATGGTTTTGTTCCTAAGCTGCATTTCTGATTTTATTTCTTAGTCGTGATTCTTTAATCGCCAGAGTAGTTCTGCATTTGACAGATTTAAAAAAATTTTTACTTATAGGTAAACTTTGGTTTTCAACTACATAAAAGAATTAAACTTCATGTTGTCTAGTTTCTGGTTAGCATATATGTTTTAGACTCAGGCGTTTCTTCTCTACTTTTTCCTACTTTGGGACAGTTGTTTTCTTGACCAATGTGCCAGTATTAAACTCACGTGTTTTAGTCAACATTAGTTTAGTCAACATTTTGAAGGAAGAAAAAGCAGGGAGTGATCAAGAAATGTATTTTAAATAACACTATCATTTTTAAATTCCACTTGAAGGCATTCCTGAGACCTTTGGCAAATTGGAATAGTTTTATGTTTGCTAAGGATGCTTTAACATTTTATTTTATTTATTTATTTATTTTGGCACCAGGGGTCGAACTTGGGTCCTTGCACTTGCAAGGTAGGCAGCAGAACCACTGAGCTAAATCCTGGCCCTTGCTCTAATACTTTAAAATGCCACCTTGGGTTCTTGAGAATTTCATGATAAAAGCCACATAAAATGTTTAACACGGTGTTTGATAAATAGGGAGCATTCGAATTGAATATAACAGGGTTTAAGTTTATATGTGGAAATAATTGTCATTAAATAATACAGTAACCACTGGAAAGTTAGTGTACCTGTATACTGTTAGTATACAGTTTATTGTGTGATATTCATATATTTTTATGATGTTTTTGGTACAGGTTTTTAAGCTTGAAATTGTTTATTTTTTGTCATCTACAGCATCACTGCCGACAGTGTGGAAACATCTTCTGTGCTGAGTGTTCAGCCAAGAATGCCTTAACCCCTTCCTCCAAGAAGCCTGTCCGCGTCTGTGATGCATGCTTCAATGACTTGCAAGGGTAATGGTTAGCGCAGCTTCATGGCTGTCTTACGCTACGTTAGACTTTTAATAAATGTGCTTTGTAGAGGTCTTGGACTGTTTGATTTGGATTCTGGCTGCAATTTTAGACCAACTTAGAATTCGTATATTTTGGAATGTTATCGATATCGAGCAAAAGTCTTCTATTTTTGTGAGACTTGGATTCATCTTCATTACTTTTTTCCATTTAACCCCTGGAACAGCTTTCATGCCAAGTTTAGAATTAGTAATGAAATGTAAATAAAACTCAGACAGAAAATAGCAATGTATTTTTTTAAACATAATTTCATTGTTCACAAATGGTGAATATAGTTCCATAGATTATTTCTTTCTCCCAAATTATATATACAAAAGTGTACATGGATGATGTTTTCACTTGCTTTTGTTGCACAATAACATATTAATTATATTAAATATTCTCTGTGTGGGGTCATGCACAAGACTATTACATTTTTTTCTCTTCTGTAAAGGTCTGTAGCTCAGTTATATTTTTTGTTATAAATTTACTACTTGGATATTTTAAATATAGTTTGTGTTAAAATATGTATTAATCATAAATTCAAACATGATTTTTTGTTTAATAGTATTGATTACATTCTCAAGTAAGTTTTATAAAATCCTCTGTAAAATAAATTTGCCTACTTTATGATAACCTTGGGGTTATGTTTCAAAGACTTGGATTAATTTTTATTTTTCTTTGTGTCTTTTTTTAATCTCAATTTCAAACTTCCACATATTGTCCATTACAAATCCTGTAAAATCCCTTATCTTCTCAGTTGGAGGGTGAAAAGTAGAAATTATATTACGGTCCTAGCCTTACTTTCTTGTTAGTGGGAAGTCTTCTGAGATTAGCCTTTATAGTATAACCTTACTACTCCTACCTTTGTCCAGCATCTCCAGGAATCTGAATTTGCTTTTTTAAAGGAGCTGCCATTTTTCCTTTACTTGGTTTTACCTTCTCAAGCATAGCTCAGCTTCACTGTAATTGTTTTTGTAAATTTTCATCTTAAAGTTAGTAATTTATATTGCTGTAGTCATATCCTTGAAAACAAAATATAAAATGGTAAGAGATAAAATACTCTATATTTTCTTTTTACCTAAAAGAAAAGAATTTTTAAAAATTGTTAAAATTGACTTGCTCTTAAAATGGTTCTAGGTTAGGGTTTTATATTAACTGGGAAATCTTAACTGCAAAAGTAATGAATGCTATGATGTTACCTTTAACTAATAGCTAGAGAATAGAGTATCACCCAAGACTGATTTACTTAGAGACCCTGACGTTACAATAAATACTGAAGCAGGATTGTCAAGCACTTTAAGGATAATTAAGAATTAACCTATTTCTATGTTGAATAATGAAATTGAACTTTAATATTTCATAGTCTTATTAGTTTGGATACTAGAAAATGTCTGAAAGCAGAATTCATTAATTTTATTTTATTATCTTTCTAGAGAAGAAATGTTAAAGTTACACATGCATTCAGTGCCATCATTAAGTAACAACAGCAGAGAAGGATGAGAGTATCTCATTTACAATACTTCATAATAAACACTTGCTTTCAAATATTGGGCTGAAATGAAATTATCATGTTTGTATAATACCTATAACATATATAAACAAAAAGATGCCACATAGTCATTTAATTATTTTAAAAGTAAACCCTGTTGTCAGTAGCTGTGAAGGGCATTAAGTCCCCAGACGTGGATAAACATACACCCTTGTGCATATGTAACAGATAAATGCAATGGCTATTAAAACAATAGTTGGATAATATAAACTGAGCTATTCATGCATTTTTATATCCTCATAAGTCCTTTCAAATAATATTAATTCTTTAATTTTATATTAAAGTAACTTAATGAATTTGTTAGAACAATAGTCATTGCACCACCATTTTAAAATTTGTTTTAAGGTAATAAAACTTTATGAGAATTCTGGGTGAGAATGTTTATTTGTTCATTTCCTTGTGGGATGCACTATAGACTTCTGCCCCCTCTCTCAATCCCTGCATCCATTCACAAAAGCATTGAGGAGATGACAAAACCATGATTGAGCGATTTTTCTTATTTTTGTCTGATCTCATTTCATAGATCTCAAATAATCTACCTGCCATTGGCTACCATACAGATAAAATAAATGAAACCAATCCATTTTGCTAGTAGCTTACTAGTCAAATGTTTTTTGAAATAAACCTTAGTTTATTAGTCCTTCCCCCCTTTAATGAAAGTCCTCTTCTGTGTTCTCATTGACTCTACGTTCTAGGTGTTTGCTGGTACTGTTACTTTGTCAGTGAGACAGCTGGCACTCTTGGTTCTGGTGCAGAACATTGGCATTGAGTCTTAGTAAATTGCAAAGCTCAGCATAGAAATTTGAGTTCAAAATCAAGTCTTGCCAGGTTAGTGTATAATAAACTATTTTTTAATAGAAGAAAATGCTGCTGGTATAGGGTTTGTTCCTTTTGAAGAAAGAAAGAGGGAAACAAACAACACCTCAAAGCAGTGTACAAATAACATTTTGTTCAACTACCTCTTAAAGTGGAATTAGCTAGTTTAATAGTTTCTTTACAGTAATGTTAAATAATAACTGCCAAATTTGTTATTTTCCCATCCCTTTAAAAAGTGTTTATGATTATTTTATATAGTTTTGAGATCTTAAATTCACTTTTTTTTAACCTTGCATTTGCATAAAAATATTTAGCTTTTAAGTGGAGAGCAAATTATGATCATATATTTTGATATTCATGACCTGTTTCACTACAGCAGTTTGTTTAAAATGCTGAGATTGTGGATGATTTGGTCCATAAGATTTAAATGTGCCATCGATTTACTATCCATAGACATGAGCTTGATGAATGACACTGCTATTATGATGTGCCACATGTTACCATGTTTTAATTGCCCTTTGCCTGAATTTTAATGATCAATTTGTTATTGTTGCAGATGTGAATATTGTGCATACACTTACTAAATTTATGTAAAATTGTATAAGATCCAATTGGAAATCACTAAGTTCTTTCTGTGCAGAAGTACTGAGCTTACTGTAACATGACGCAGTCCTGTGTACGGCATTCTGTACTTCCTTAAACTGGATCATGTGGTCATAGCTTCTGTATATACTTTTGCATGAATATATTTTCATTTAATTTTTGGGTTCATTATTTGTATTGTGGTTACTATTTGTGATCATGTAGTTGTGCCTTATTTTGTGAGAGTGTAGCTCAGTAAATACTGTAATTTCTAACCTCAATGGTAAGAAGGTTATTGATTGTAAATATAACTGATAAATTACCTGACAGCATTTAAATCTGTATAAAGAACAATGGAAGGATCCTTATTGAATTGTTTCTTTTGTTTTTTAGATGTTAAAAATGATATTAAAAACCTTTCTTTCTATAGATGTGGTCTGGGACTAAATAATTTTGTCTACACGAAAAAAGGGACAAGATCTTAACCATTTTTCCATGAATTGATTTATAGAATATTAGGACTTTGTACTTGGATATAGACAATGATTATGTTTCATTGTTCTTGAATTTAGGATACTTATTCATTCATGATCTCAAGAGAAATTATTAGTACCATTTTGCTTGAGACATTCTTTTTTTCACTGTACTCATTATTCTAGAGAATTACTAAAACTAGAAAAAGTATAAAAATATAAAATTAATCCTTCTTTCATTGTGTATGTAAATTTAATCCCCATGTGACCCAGTGTACCGCTGTTTTTACTTTTTCCTGCACACTAGAGTTCCACAATTTTCTCACCCTATTTCATACTAATGTCCTCACCGAAAAGTTGAGTATGCAAATCCTCAAGCATGTAGTAAATATATTATATATCAGATGTGCTGTTTTGTGAGGTTTGTGATGTTCCATTTTATGACATACTCGAGCTATTTTATGTCCTTTATGTTAATTTTTTTTCTCTATTTAATGGGATTTAAGACTCGTGGGACTAAAGGAATCTTGAGAAATTGCTTAGTACTAATCACTGCCTTCTTCCGATGTTGATTTGTAGCTAAAAGACCCTGCTAGGTGATTGCTGAAATTTTTTTCCTGAAAACATTCATTGTAACCAGAATTTCTTTAAAAGTCTCTTGCCTAAACCCCTGTGTCTTCTCCTGGACCTAATTGCTTTCTGTTTCATTCAGATATTATCTCTAGGGACTCACTTGAAGTCTGTTCTTTTCTTTTCTGCCTCCCTCCCCTGCCATTTATTTTTAACTTTCAACAATAGTTACTGCTTCCCAAGTTTGTCTTTTATTTTTACTCACCCCTAATAAATATCTTGACACTACTATAAAAAGACTGTGACTCCCTTCCAGCAGTGCTGGATCCTTGCCCCACACCTGTCTGCGGTGCGTGTCTGTACTACTTTGTTTGCATGGTGAACTCTGTTCACTTTTAAAAACCTGCTGTACAACTGATTTCCCCAAACTTCATCCTCTCTATCCAGGTCTTCAACTTAATTAAAGAGGCCAGTTAAAGTTTCAGCCAAATTTTGTAAACTTCTTACTTCCACTTTGGAAATTGCAGAAAGTACTGTGATTGAAATTGACATTTGTGGTCTTCCATTTAATAAACTTTGACCCTAAGAACTGATTCCTTAATGCAGTGATAATAGTTCAAATAGCTCATCTTGATAACATCTAATGAAGTTTTAAATTGTTAGATAAAACGAAGTGATTGTACTATGCTAACATGCATGTGCACACACAGGAAATGATTTTGTCAAATACCATCTTTCTTCAAAAATTGAAGTTAAGAGAAAGATACTATTCCTATGAGCAGCTTCCATGTAAAAATGTTAACTGGTAAATCTGGATTAATTTTTTTAAACAATGAAATTTAGTCTTTGGTCTAATTACAAATTAGATCATTATAAGTATATCTAAGATATATAAACTGACTGTTGAAGATAGGAATTCTAAAGCTGCTATTGAAGTGAACTCATTTATTAATATATTTAAAAAGCCACAAACTTTGTAGATCAAAAATTGTCATTGTGTTTGAGGTAGGACTGACTATAAAGCACTAAGACTGATTTACAAGCAATGTAGAAAAATTGGTTTCATTATTTTATGGATACTTATGGATTAGAATGCTAGAATTCACATTGGACACAAGCACTTCCCAGTCGTTCTGATACTGCCTTTGTCTGGTCATTCACCATTTACAAATTATAACAGCACCATTCTTCACCGCTTCATACAGGTCTGACTGAAGCATTAGAAGTCAGGACAGCAATATATATTTGTCAGGGAGTCTTCCGAATTCAAATTTGTTGCAGTCATTATTCCTCTAAGGACTTTCCTAGCTTAAATTCTCAAATTCTGGAATGCCTTTAAAAAGCACATTTCCTTTTAGCTCATTATGAGAGAAAAGTTAGTAAGTTTCATGAAATGATTTAAACCCTAACCTCTGAAAAAGTATGCACTTGTTTTAAGTTCCTAAATTTCGGAAGATTCTGCAGGCAATGTGAATAAAGATATTTTCTTGGTTTCCTGATTCTTATTGAAGCAAGAGATTGCTGCTGTTATTTGTGCTATCCATGCTTTCTGTTGAAAAAGAAAAATATGTAAATAGAATGTTAAACTGATAGTTTCTTACATATCTGAATTAATATTTTCCATTATATTGACTTGCTCTTTAAAACTGAAGACTAACAAAGCATTTGCGTATGTTTCTCACTTTCTTATATCTAATATAAATACTTGTAGTCAGATAGGAAAATGTAAATGGATTGAAAGGTGAGTAGTGTATAAATCAGATAATCAGGAACCAATGATGGCTAATTGGACTAATAAGAAAAATTAGTACTGACAATAAGTTCAGAAGTTGAATATCTTGAATTCCCATTAAGAAACAGAAGTTCTTAACCAGTGCTATAATTTGAAACACGGATTCTGAGGGAGATGACCCGGGAAATTGAGTTCTTAAGAATAACAATAATGCATTTACTGTCTGGCCATATCGTTGCTGTGATGGAAGACCACAAGGGGAAAGACAAAAATAGAAACTTCTAAATAGAGAAACTAAATAGAGAAACAGCTGCTCTTTCAACTCCATAGCTATAATAACAATGGTATATTTTCAAAATGAATAGCAGACGACGTGGCTCACAACTGCACAGCCTGATAGCGCTTCTGCCGATGGCACATTATTTCCATTCTGGAGAATGATTGGAAAATCTTAAAAGTGAATCATGCAATCCAAAGCACTTCTTTCCCTTTCCTACAGAAACTGCAGAACTCGGGCAGCTCTTGACTTTCTGCAACAGGAAAATGTAGGTCAGGCTGTGTCAGCTCTGCAAATGGGAGGAAATTGTCGTCCCTGAGGTTTCTGAGCATGATAAGGACTAAAGGTCCTCCTCACTACCTACCCGCTGCGCGCCTTCCCGGAGTGAGTCAGGACAATACATAAAATCTCCCAACGCATGCGCTTGGAATTTTTCTTTATGTAAGCAAACTCCGAAGAATTCAAAGATCTACAAAATTAAGATACATACTTTGTCATTTTCCGTCTGGGCTTGTAATAAGAATGCTGCTGTACACTGTCGATATCTGTTTTCATGTTGTAGAAGAAAAGCATTTCTCAGTCCAAAGACTAGAAAAAGATATCACAAAGACAAAAAGCCAAATTATTTAATATGAAATCCAGACAGTGTCTTAGTACAAGAACCTGGGGTCTTGTCTTTTATTTTGGTTTCTGTTTTTAATGAGGGCAGATTATGTAGATTACCAAAGAAATAATTCTAATTCCAAGGCCAAGACTCCACTGCTGTGTCCAAACAGAGCCCTCTTTAATCCAAAAGCCTTCTGTCAGCTAAAGACATCTGGGAGCTGATGAAATACAATTTAACTTTAAATGTTTATTTTTGTATTTAAAGGGAAGTTAGATCAAAAGGAGGCATATAATCAAAGTGGCAAAAATTCAAAAGCACCTGAATAGGCCAAGAAAAACTAAAAAACTGATTCAAATAAAATGCATTGTCCACCACATGATGTGAAATGTGTAACAAAACAAAACAAAATGAAAAATGCATGGTCTGTATTTGCAAAAGAAACAAATATGCTGCATTGGTTTCTGGCTGATCTCAAATGACAGGAGGTACTGGGGAACGATTGTTTTTAAAACAGGAATTCTGAAAATAAAGTGTCTGCCTTGAATTATTAATACAATATGAGGAACAAAATTCTCCATCTTACATATTATATGGTCTTTCTGAAGTCCTTAATGTTGAGAATCAGACAAACCAAGAAACCAAGCCAGGTCAATCTCTTAGTCATATCGATTATGTAAGGGAGAAGAAAGAGGAAGCGCCTTTTATTTCTGGTGCCTCTTCAAGTGATTGTATTGTTGGAGATGGTGAATTTAACCCTGATTCCTCTGGGGTAGGTTGGGCTTTATTTCCGAGTGAAAGGGAATTCAAGACTTCACTTTAACTACAAGAACTATTTCATTCTCATGGATTATACTCATGATAGTGTAAACCTCCTAATTCCTAAAGTCTGCTACAAGAGATGAGTCAATGCCAAATCATAAAGCACTGTTCATTTTCCCTGGGAGAAAAAGAATAAACCTATTAAAATTACTTTCTGGAAAAAGATCTGGCTGGTTTGTTTTACTCCCTGATTTTTTTCTCTTCTAAACCTCCTGCAGCACATGAGGCTTTAGAGATCGTGTTCTAGGCTGGTGTTTCGGAATCCATTTTCTCCAAACATTGAAACTGGAGTTCCATTGGCACTCGCTTGTTTGGATTATAATATGGACCTTAAAGGACTTCATGAGTAGATGACTTGGCACTGGGAAGTCTGTAAAGTACAATAAGGAGATGACATGAATGGGAACAACTGTTTTTTCTCTCAGACTTTCTAATGTAGTTTCCAACAGAATTTTTAAGGCATTTATTAGGTACTTGGCTCCACACTTATGTTTTTTGCTTTCTCTGTGTTGTGTCATTTAAACACCACAGAGGTCATATGAGATGGGTCAACTATCTCCTACTTACACATGAAGAACTAGGAACCAGAACCAGATGTGATTTGACCACAGTTTGGAATTAGGTCTCTATCATTCCAATGGCCAGGTTTTTGTTTTTGTTTTTGTTTTTTTTTTGTCCCACCGTCTCCTTCATTCTATAGCTGTTCTGCCTCATGCACTATATACAGTCAACATCAGACCGAGAACCTCTCAAAAAAAGAAAGAACAAGACATTAGTTACAAATCAGAAAATAAAGTTTTTAAAAGTGGAAGTGTTTTTTGAAAGATACCTTCGATTTTTAGAAAAAGAACAGAGGGGAAGCCAAGGTCTACCAAAGAAATCCAGTGATGGCAGGTGTTCCATAAAGTCCATTTCTTGAGGCTGACATGGTTGTGACTAGACTGATCTCTCAGCCAGGCTGCTCCCTCTCTCCTAATGGGGTTAGAGAATCATCCTCCACTCATAAGGCCAGCATCTTCATAGCCACTGTAGTGGGATAGTACACTCCTAGCACGGAATGCCGTCTGCAATGATCCTTCCCTCATGAAAAAGTAAATGAATCACAACAGAATTCTTCCTTCCTTACACTACTCTTCCCTCTCCTGAGCAGGGAGCAAGCTCACACTAGAAGTGTGTGTACAGGCTAGAAAACAACTCAGTTTGTTCTTGATTCTAAAACTTTCTGGCTCATGCAGACTTTGGCCTATGCTATATTTGGAGTCAAATAGACCCGGGTAGTAAAGGTTTGGTCCCAAATTGTGGGGGGTGGAGCCTGGTGGAAATACTTAGGTTGTAGGGGGCATATCTTCAAAGGGAATTATGGGATTCTGATCTCTGCCCCTCCTCTTTGTGCACTCGCCCCCACCCCCCGCAGTGAGGTGAGCTGTTGTTTCTACCACGTGCAGCCTTTCTATAGACTGCAGTCGGTCCTAGCCAAATCAAACAGCCTACGTACTTGTGTCCACTTTCAGCAAATCTTACCGAAAGAATAGAAGCTGTGTTTCTGTTACATGTGTGAATATGTGCATACATCATGTACCCATGCATATCTATGTGTATATTTCTAGCATATTCCTATGGTATGACTGTAATAAACTTATACATTCATAACGTATCATGTTTTACCAGTGCTTGACTGATAGCAGCAGTATTAATAATGCTAAGAGGATAGCAGTACTAATATATTGGATGCATTACATGCATTGTTTCATTTATTGCTCATGAAAATTCACTGAGCAGATATTATGCTGCCTATGCCTAAAGTGACAAAGCTAGCGAGTGATGGAATGGGGCAATCTAAGCATTGGGCACCAAAACATTCAGAGTGAATGATATATAACACACAGAACACAGCCTTGTCTCTTGTGAAGACATCACATCGGATTCATGTCTTGCTACCCAAAAAATTCAGTATAAAGCTGTGATCGCCAACAGAGGAGCTGACTGATGGAAACAGACACCTACCTGACACGTGGAGCAGGTCAATACTTTTGACTACCAGTCTGTCTAGTGGAATGGGTTGATCAAGTACTGTGCATGAACCGCCCTCTTTTATTATGGTTTGCAGCTCAGGAGTAAGTGAAGGACACATTATGCCAGTGTCTGAGCCTCCAAGTTTCTGAAATGAAAGAGGAAAATAATGCAACACACAGGAAACAAATACTGGTGCATAAACCTCAAGTGCATCCTTAGCAAATGGGTTCTCAGAAACAAGTCTCCTGACAGCCAGCTTCCTATCCTTTCTCGAAATGAAAAAAATTATGTCCTCGAAGCATAGTGATTTAAAGCAAAGTGCTTCTGGCCCCTATTTTTAATTACCTGAATAAAGAATGGCTGGCATCCATAAGTGAAAAATATTGTAATCCCCATCACATCACTGGGAGGATCTTCCTTCCCAGTATCTTAATCCCTTTCTAGTACCGAGCTGCATGAATGAGAAAGAAGAGCTCATTTTGGCTGGTTCTGTGTGCAGGCTCTAATGTGAAACTAAACATTCTATGCTCTGTAATTTGTGAACAGTTGAAATTGTTTTGAATATATAAGATGGGGAATTACTTGAAAAAGGTGTAAAATATTGCAGTTTGCATGGCGTATATGTATATCAAATAGCAAAGAGGAGAGCAGACTGGTAGCATTCCTTGTTTCGGAATCAAGCATGAAACCAGAATGTTACTTGACTAAACAATTGATATGGGCTGCTGTCAACGGATGGGCCCTGATTTGTGCCACTTTTGAAGTGGAGGTGGACTGTGTTGACATCATGTTTTTGAAGGGGTAGAGATTTTTCCAAACTTGTCTTAGATATGCTGGTCTGAGTAGCTTAAATAGGAAATCATACAAATTCTGTAATGGTGACATGGTGTTCTCCAACACCCACTCCCTCCTAAACCACCCATCAGCTAGCTATTCATAAATTAATGAGAGTCTCTTTTATTGCTAAAAGGTTTTTAAAAATTTATCTCAACTGACCAACCTGCCATCTACAATCTTAGTTTATTAAAAAATAAGAAACAATGATATTATCCGTGTAAGCCTAGTCACTCGATAAAGAAACGGATGGAATAAAACAACATCAGGCATCTCTGATGGCATCAGAGATGGCAGTTCCTCTTTACACCTCCAAGGCAGGTGTCTGTGAGCCTTCCTGACACATCCCTCAGCCACCACTCAGGAGCAGACTGTGAGATTGGAGATTAGAGAGAGCCTTCTGTGGACTGTTGGACCAATGGCTTAGTGGGTTTTAAAAACAAAACAACAATAATAATGGTAACAATCATACTTAAGAAATATGAAAAAACTATTCACTGTAGAGGTTTTGTGACTCTAGCTGCAACTGACCCATATTGTCTGTGATGCTAGCTATGCATTTGTCTAGCTCCTACAACAGTTCTTACACAGGCAGGACTGAAACATCAGGGCTTCCTCCCACCTCTCTCCCCAAGTAATCATTTCTCAAATCAGAAAGAACGAGAGAAGCGCCCTTGCTATGTGGCTGCTTACAGGATAGGGCCCTGCCCTGACCTTGGCTGTTCTTGTACTGAACCATTTGGAAGGATCAATATTGTCAAGGACATTTTGGAGTTCTTGGCATAGGCAAGTGAGGCATGCAGGCATTGTTTGCGGGACCTACTTTGAAGACATACAAAGTAATTTTAAAAATGTACATCCCCCCTGGTATTCTCAAGAAATATAATTTGCTTGTTATTTATTTGGTTTCATTTTTAGAAGATGAGATCCATTTTGTAGTATTAGAAGAATCTAGTTCTAACACAGCTTACTTAGAAATATTTTCAACCTCATTTAGAAACGTAGAAATAGCATCTTACCTTTTTGTTGCGCTTAGTTTTTGTAACTAAGAGGAAGTCATCAAAGAGGAACAGGTAAACGTCCAGGAATCTTGTGCTCTCTGGGGAAAGAAAGAAAAGGGAAAATGGGAACTTGAATGAGAAAGTGGAACTTTTGTTTTTTAGACTGAAGAATCCTTTAGAAAACAAAACAAAGAATCCGTAGGTGATGGGTAAGAAAACTGCCAGTATCAATGTCGAATTGATTTCTTCCTAAAGCACAGGCCTTGTTAGCACTCAAGCATCCAACTTGAAGGACTTTGTATTTGTGGTGCATTCCAAGTGAACTAAGGTAACTCAGGTGGTATTTGTAATGGTTTCAACTAAGCCGAGGATAAATCCATCAGTTAATTGAACTTGCATCATTTTGGCCTCTTGACTCACCTGCATGTTCATCAGAGGACCGGCATTTGGTAGTTTTTGGACTAAACTGTATCTTCCCAATGCATATGTTGAGGCCCTCATCCCCAGCATGACCATATTTGGAGTAAGGAAGTGGATGAGGTACATTGATCATGGGCACAGTGCCCCAGGCCAACAGGATTAGTGTCCTTGCAGGAAGTGTCACCAGGAGTCATTCTCTGTCATGTGAGGATATAGCAAGGAGACACCCAACATACAGGTGGGAACAGAATCCTTGACGGAAACCAATAGAACCCAAATCTGGGGTTTCCTGCTTCCCGTCTTTGAGAAATAATGTCTGCTGTTTGAGCTTCCCAGTCTATGGTATTTTATTTATCAGCTCTAGTTGACCAAAACAGTCAGGCAAACTTCTTATTTCTTATGTTTTACGTTGTGTCTTTAAATGTTTAAATATTTTTCAATGTGCTTCTATGTTTACAAAGTTTTCTGATACCTCTTTTGATAGTTATTTCAGGCAAATAGTTGTTTTTTTGTTTGTTTGTTTGTTTCTTTCAATTCTCCCTAAGATAGAAAAAGTAGCAGGAGACAAATCCAATATTAGAATAAGGTATCCTTTTCCTTATTTTCTCAGAAATTAGAAAAATAAATGGCTAATTTTAGGCACCTTCAAAGAAAAAGGCAGCCTGTTGAGAGGGAGATGTAATAGATACTTAAAAGAGTAATGGGAAAATGTAGTAACTTTTTTTAGCTTGTTCTATTTATGTTACTTATTTATATTATTCTGCTTTTAGCCCTAGGAGCTATGTGGCAAAGTTTAAAATAGATAAAATACTTAGGATTCATTTCTATCTAATTAAGATTTTTGTTTGTTTGTTTGTGACAGTCTCACTATGTAGTTGAGACTGACCTGGAACTCACTGTGTAGCCCAGGCTGGTCTTGAACTCCCAGCGATCCTCCTGCCTCAGCCTCCCAAGTGCTAGGATTACAGGCGTGCACCACCATGCCTGGCATATCTCATTAAGATTTGAGGAAGGGTTCTTTCTAGATTTGCTTAGATAAGAAATTAGATGGTGTCAATTTGAATTATCCCTGAATGTTTTTAGATAATTGTTTTCCATGACTATTAGAAACTTTCCTTTTCATAGATCTGCCACAGTCTGCTGTTCATTCCTCAGAAACCTTTCCCTCTTTTGTGGTAGTGAACCACCTGAGTTTTAGTGGGTACACATCTTCAGAAAACAAAGACTGCACTGAAGCCCTCATAGATGAATATGACCAGGGGCCTAAATTCTGACTAGGAGAATGTGAAGTTTGGAAATTCTGGGTCATATCCTTGAAGGGCAGAACTAGGGCCTCTCATCACTTCTCGCTTCGGCTAGAGAACAAAGACAAGCTGCTCAGTCATTTCGGGCTACAAAGAGGAAAACGGAAATGGTTCTTATGAAAATGAAATAGTTCTTAGCTCTCTTCTCCCTCCTCCTCTTCTTTCTTCTTCGTACCAGGGATCGAACTTAGGATTGCACTTGCGATCTTAGTTCTCTTCTTAATTTCAAGCATTTCATTTTAACAAACAGGCTTCCAGCACCTTTATTCTGGGAAATGATGATTATTTTAGCCACCACTTAGGAAGGCCCTAGGGTTCCACCAAACAACCAACAAATAGCGAGACCTTCTGTGCCCCAGTGACTAAGACAGTACTCCTGCCTTTGAGGAGTTTTAATTCTAGGGGGAGCAGGTGCATAATCAACCTATAAACGAGATTTAAAATAAGATACATTTAGAAATTGATAGTGCTAGAGAGATAAATGGGGTGATCTCAAAGACAGTTACTGAGGAGGAAGACTGTAAGCCAAAAATCAGGCTGTTCCCACTTACTACCTTCTGGCTTGAGGCTAGCACAGCCCAGTGGAAAGCTTTCACCAGCGATAAGTCCAGAATTAGGATCCAGTCAGTGCTGCACAGCCTGACCTGAGGTTGATGCATTTGAGCAGTTTTATCTACACTTGGTTTTTTTTCTCTTGGACTCAGCACCGTGTGCAGCACGGAGCACAGCTGCTGCTGTATTTTAGGGTGGCAGCAGCTGGAGCAGCACGGGCTCTCTAGGTGTCACAGTTCCCGGATCATCCTGTCTGTCTCCATCCTGTTCACTGTCACACTGACAAACATCCGTCCGTAGGGAGCCATGTATCTGAGAGGAGCACGAAGCCGGAATTCCAAAAGTTATGAAAACCAGCTCCCTCAGGCAATGAGAAAATGCATTTATTTGATGAAGACGGAGCAGTGTTCAACCCTGGCAGAAGTTTGGAAGCACTGTATAAGTCGGTTTTGGTCGTCATCATCATCGTTACCAACATTGAGAAGAGAGGAAGGGAATTCATACAACATACCATAGCCCACACTGGTGCTAGATCCCCAGGTTTTTGTTTCATTCTTTGGGGGTAGGCATTGAACCCAGGCCTTGCACATGCTAAACATGAACTCTACCCTGAATCATACCCTTCAGCTCCCTGATTCTTGGCTCAGTGCTTTCCCCATGTCCTGTTTCTTCTGACACTATTAACATTGCCCCATCAAATTTGTACCAGTTCCAAGTCCAAGTCCCATGCCTTCAAATTTGATTTAATGCCGCATTATATGGTGTCTCCTCTTTGCTTGAATGTGGCCAATACAGGTTGTGGCATTAAACAAGTGTGACTGAGTATTTATTACAAACCAGACCTTGAGCCAAGTTCTTCATGTATGTCATTTTGTGTAACAATACTTTATGAGATGCCTCTCCATTCTAGAGAGAAACTAGAGGGCACATAGCTACATCAGGAAGTCTCTGTTTACCTGGCGGTGCTCTGATTCGCACGTTCTACCACCTTGGACCCAGGTAAACACAATTCCTTCTGCCTTTCGAATAACAGCAGTTGAAGAAGTTCTGAGGTAGCAAAGGTGCTGGTCTTTTTAAGCAAGCAGTTATTTACCTGCAAGAGTTAATTTCCCTTCATAGAGAAGGCTTCTGTTTGTTGGTGACAAGATGTTTTCTGCCATGTTTTCTTTAAAAATGTGTTTCAAATACTTGCAAAAACAAGGAGGAAAATAAGAGACAATGTTAGTGAGGATGGGAAGAGAACACCTTCAAGGATTTGGGGCAATCAACTGCATCTAGAATTTTCAAGATATTTAGAAATAATCTACCAGAAAATAGACATAGGAAAGGGAAAGGGCGGGCAAACCTCTCAGATGGGCCATCCGAGTGGCACAACAATTCAGCCTCCCCACACTCAGTGCCGTATGGATGAAGGCTTTTCCTTTTGCTCATGAAACTAGATTTATTCCTCAGGTGGATGGCTAGGGACTTCCTAAGACTAGGTATTTCTACTTGAATGCCAGGCTTCCAGAAAAAGACGTAAATCTCACTTATCTTTAATGTACCTCTGGAATGAAAAACCTTTTATCTCTGTCCCAAAGCGGAGGCCACACTATAATCTCCTGTAGATGTCTAAATTTTTGGAAATTGTCCAACCACTTCACTTTTCCTTCAAGATCCCCTGAAAAACAAGACATAGCCGACATTTTTAAATGCCTATAACGCTGCAGCATAAATCTAGGTGACATCCACTGTAATCGTTTAAAGACTGACTGTCCTTGGAGCCAAACCACAAATATAGTTCATTTAACACAATGGCGGGGGATTTAGCTCAGTGGTTCCACCACCTGTCTTGCAAGCACAAGGGCCTGAGTTTGATCCCCGGTACCAAAGCAAACAAACAGACAAAAAAACAACCATATTGCTTGCTGCTTATTTATTTATTTATTTGGTACCAGGGATCTAACTCAGGTCTTTGCGCTTGTGAGGCAGGCGGCGGCACTACTGAGCTAAATCCCTGGCCCATTGTGTGCTGTTTAAATGTCTGAGAGAAATTATTGAGATCAACATCTTGCAGTTTCCTCTTGTAGAGAAAAGTAATATTAATAAAGCTCTTGATATTTTTTTTTATTATTATATACCTCACATCACACACAGACTTTAAGTAAAGGAAGGAAAAAAGAGTATTGGATTCTTGGCCTGATCATAAAGAATATGCTCTTGCAACAATGATTACTTTTTGCTAACAACTCAATTTGTCCTTGGAAGATTTGTGTTAATTTTCCAATAACATATTATTGTTGAGGTTTTGAAATGAATTTTGAAAATATGGGAACAAATTATAGACCCACAAAATCACATAGTTGAACCCTTGAGAATTTGTCATCTTTAAGAAAGAGACATTTTAGAAGAGCCACCCAGATCTATTCCTTCAACAAAGAGAATCCATCTTTTATGGAGAAGTCTCTTGTGCACTTTCTTTTATCTTCCTCATGAACATCCAAATAGTAATAATCCCTAATATTATTTTAGAAGTTTCAAAAAGTTGGTCTTGGCCGGGGATTTAGCTCAGTGGTTCTGGTGCCTGCCTCACAAAAAGTTGGTCTTTAGTTGAATTTGTTTTTTATTCACTTAATAAACTTAATTCTAGTCCCTTAGATCGTTTTGAAATTTGAATAAAACCTTGAAAAAGAGGAATGACCCCCCCATAAACTGTTATTTAACTTTTAAATCTGCAAAGGAACACCAATACAGAATTTTCTGTACAGCTGACAACTACCATTTGGAGCTGTCCCCCTTGACAGCCACCAGGAAATCTTACTTTCTGGACAAATACCACGGACTTCTTTGTTTGACTCTCAGTTCAGAGCTGCATAAATAAGCTTAAGTCATCAGGCTTCTTTCCCAGATTTCAGTTTTAAGATTGCAGTTGGCATAACAATAGCCCTGGATTTCAGTGAGGAATTATGAATGGTGATTTATTCTCTGGGTAGGCTTTCCACGGTTTTCACTCCCCTTTGCTTTGTGGGTGGGTTCAGAGTGGATGTTAACAACAGAGCAACGTCAATCATCCGGGGAAACAGAACCTTTCCTGCCAGAACTCACTTCTGAAACCCATGGAGAGACAGGCATGTCCTGTGTAAAGTTGACGTTAAGAGTTCCCATCAGTTTGCCAGCGTGTTATTGGAACCCATTGTTTTATATGTGTTTGGTTTATTATGAAGTTGAATATGGATCCCATTTCTGAGTTATGACCTCAAGCCAATGGGATTACCTTTCGTGATGGCAACCTAGATGGGAACCACAGGGCTTCCCAACTTTTTAATTAAGCTCAGATATCTCAGGGACTTACGGAGAGATTTTTCCACCTTGTCCTTGATGGAGTAGATCAGGATTTTCTCAGTAGAGTCTGCACTCCTTTTCCAGATGTTCTTCAGCAACAAGGGATACCGGGTAAGCCTGTGTAGTGGGGCCACCAAGAGCTCGGGCAGATGAAGTCGTCTGCAGTGTTCATTCTGCTCACACCACTGGGAAAGCCAAAAGCAGACATCATCAGCATATCACCTCTCTTATCCAGGCACTAAGAGGGTGGAACTCGAGAGTTTCTTAGGAGATTTTACTTGACAACAACAGGATGCACCTGTGAGCTTGCTAGGAAAACTCATAAGCTATGGAATAACCTTTGAGTTTTTGAAAATTCCGTATTAAACACTCTTTTGCTATCTACCAGGGCCAAATTCAGGGTCTGCAATTAGCTTCTTAAATGTAACTAAGAAGTATGATTGAATGTTACTGACTGATTTTACTTTTCAGTTAAAGAAATTGCAGAATCCTTTTCCAGATGTTTGGCTTTATAACACTAATACTCAGTCCTCCTAAAAGGGAAAACTTATCAAGATTTAGATGCACAGGAAAGGTATATAATTATTGTTCCTCAGTTGCAGCTCCGTGCATGGTAGTGATAGATGTATGAATGCGTGTTCCAATGTGAATTCCCTGGCTCTTGAGAGAGATTTCTGGTTTCCCCAGCTTTGTTGCAATCTTTTTTTTTTTTTTTTTTGGTACCAGGGTTATAACTCAGGACCTTGAGTTTGCAAGGCAGGCGACAGCACCACTGAGCTAAAGCCTCAGCCCCATCCTTGTTTTGATGCGGTTAGGAGAGGCGAGAATGAAGCCTGGACATGTTAAAGGGTGAAGGAAGAAGTTATGCTAGGTGGGTTAGTTCCCTGACTCTGTTGTGTTGGGAAGAATCAGGGTAATAACCAAAAAAGAGAACAAAAAGCTGAAGGAGATGAGTTGATTTAAGTGATATACAACAAACAGGAAAGGGGAGGGACAAAATATAATATAGGTAGAGTTTGGAGTTGGGATTTGGGAAATGGGCAGATGGGAAAAGACAGGAAGTGAATTTTAATAAATATTGTATGGGCCATACACTAGTGTTCTAGAAATGATATTTGGGAAATACAAGTAAACAGGACAATAGCGTTTGCATTTGTTATCTGTCAGCTGTTTCGTTGAGTGTGAGGCTTCTGAATGTCACACTCTGAATATAAGGCCTTTGGGCTTTTATGAAATATGGAGGCAGCTCATTGGCAGGGATGCAAATAGGTAAATTTGAAATAGTACTAAGGCGTGCTTTCTCCCCCTTTGGTTAGCCCACTAAGATTAGACTGATCCCAAGTTTCCTTTTGTTTTACATGTATTTTTAATTGAAGGATTTCAAGTACACAAAATGCACTCATTTTAAATGTTTTTAAAAAAATATATGTATATCAGTTTACAACAGTAAAACTACCACCCACATCAAAGATACTGAACAAAAATCTTACATATGAATGCCACGTAAAGTCTCTTAAATGTGGAATAGCTTGCAATATCCTTATTTCTGCCTAATAAAAATGTTGCTGTCCATTTCTATGACATAAAGAGTTCCAATAACCTTTAAACCCTTATAACCTTTGTTTTACACACATGTGAGTATCTCAAATACGAGACTGATTATTTAAAACTAAATCTGGATCTTATTAATTGGGAATTTAACCATTTTATGAGTTTAATTCACCTCCATTTCAGTCAGCATTTTAATGCAAATTTTAATGCTTCTTTGGTATTTTTGTTTTGCTACTTTTTCTTAACTTTTCACTTCCAGAAACTTGGATTTTTTTTTTTTGTCCACAACTCCATGACACATTGACTCCTATGAACTCCCATCTGATGCAGTAATAACCAGTTTTCGCTATTCAGTATTTCAAATGTCCGCCCCTCTCCAACCAGTGCGCTGGAAATTTTGTCCTCACATTATCAGTATTAACATTAGGAATTTGCTCGTCCTTTTTTTTTTAGGGAAACACAACTGTACCATTTTCCAATTTTGTCAGATTAACATTTAGAGTATCTTTACTCACTGTACTTGCCTGGTCTACAGTGATAAAGCAATTTTATCCATGTAACATACATTTGGCTTAACAATATGCATCTTTACAATACTACATGGCACAAATAAAACAGAGTTTATTTGCCAATGCATTGAATATTTGCATGCACTTTCACAATTTAAAACTACATAAGCTGAAAATTTTAGAACTAGCTTACAAATATACGTAAAAACTTTAGACATCATCCTTCTTAACTGGTTTTAATGATTACCATCAAATCTTTCATGCAATTGTCTTCTACTCTTTAACTTTCTGTTGGTTGCAGTAAACGATTCAACAAAAACTTCAGAGAAGATCCTTGGTTGATATATGTACTTAACCCCTCAGTATCTGAGAATGTCTTCCAGTTGCCTTCATACTGAAATACTAACTTGACAGGGTATGTAATTCTGGTTCAAAATTATTTTCCCTTAAAACTCTGTAGATGCTCTTCCATTGTCTTCTGTCATTTAGAATTGCAAGAGAAAGACTGGAGGTCAGTCACCAGGATATGTCTAGGCTTTCTTCTCATTAAAATTTAAAAGTAGCCCATGAGTCTCTTTTATTTGTAGGCCTACTTCATTCCTCAACTCTGGAAATTTTCTTCAATTCATTCCTTAACTACTGTTTGAGTTTTATTTGCTTTGCCCTGTTTCAGGATCAGTAGTACTTTGGTTCATGAATTTAATTCATTCCACGATTCTGGCAAAGATGACCTTGGTCATGTTTGTCACCCATGCAGAGTTTGTGAACAGAAGTAAAATTTTGTCGAGCACTTGTGTTGGCGAAATGAATTGTTCTCGAACAGAAGCATTCATGACCGAGGTAATACCATATTCTTATGTGTAGATTGTGTCTCATGGACAGGCCTTTACGTTTCTCTTCTGCTTCTCTCTTTATGTCTTAATTTCTTTAGACTTTTCTTCTGCATTCTGTGAGAATTTCTCTTGTTTTGCATTTATTTCAGTAATTTTGTTTGTAACTGACCCTGATCACCATGTTTCCTTTCACTCTCTAAAACCTGCATGTGTTCTCATACCACTTGTTTTATAATTAAGCACAGGCTGCTAAAGAACTCTCTTATAAGATGTTCAACATTTTCTAGATCATTTCTGGAGACTGGTACATTAGTTTCAAGAGGTCGTACTTTCTCAATTCCTTAGCTCTGTTCCTTTCTTCTGAACTGTGGTATTGCAATCTTTTCAGTGGTTCTTCTTTGCAATGGGGGTCCCATCCCCAAATGTTTGCATCTTGATGTGATGGCTATGGTGGATTGTGCCCTTGATTGACTTTGGGAGTTGCTCAGGGGACTAATAAAGCACACTGTGCCTGGGTAGGTTGGGGACTTCACCCTTTTCTTTGTAGTGCTGTTTCCCTGCTTGGCTTCCCCTCTCCCATGAACTAGGCAGCTCTGTTCTACCACGTCCTTCTCAACGATGTTCCTCCCTTGGAGTTGATTGCCCAAAGAATAAATCCTGTGAAACTGTGAGCAAACATAAATCTTTCTACCTTTAAACTGTGTATATCTGGTGTCATATCCCAGCAATGAGAGATGACTAGTATACCCATTAAAATTCATATGCTGATATTCTAACACCTAATGCGATGATATTAGGAAGTGGGACTTTTGAGATGAAATTGCATCCTAAGTGTGGAGTATTTATGAATGGAATTAGTACCTCTATAAGAAAGAAAATTAGTTCTTTTTTCACCATATGAAGATAGACAGTCTATAGCCAGAAAAGGGTCCCAAAAAGCAGGATAAAGTATTAGCTTGACTGGCTTTGGGATTTGCACAGATTGGTGGAGCCTACTTTTGGGTGTGTGTGAGCGGGGAAGAAAGGCATGGCTTGGGGATCTGTGCAGGGTCCTTGGCCCTTTCTCCTTCCCTTGCTTCCCAGACTCCAACAACAATCACCTTTGCTCTGCTGTTCCTTTCTGCAATGATGTTTCTGCCCTGGCACCAGCTCACCACGGACTGAATCCCCTGAAACTGTGAGCCAAATTAAACCTCTCCTCTTTTAAGTTGTGGGTGTCAGATATTATGTCCCAGTGACGGGGAAAATGATGATACACACACTGACCTCAGCTTTTAAGCCTTCAGAACTGTAAGAAAATAATTTCTGTTGCTTGTAAGCTGCCCATGTGTGGCACTCTGCTATAGGAGTCCAGGCTGACTGCAAGAGGGATCCTGCCCTTACATTTAATATTTGCCTTGCAGTAGGTTATTGCCTCAATTCCGCCTTGCACTCTCAGGCTAGGCCCATGTGGACTCTTCTGCCTTGTGACCTAGACCCTTCAGGGCCATCCGCAAATGGGCCCAGTATACTGAGGGTGCTCCCTCTGCTTCCCCTAAGTTGTGTTGTTGCCCAGATACCAATCACTGCATTTCAGAGATCTTATGTATAATTAGCTCAACCTCTTTCACCAAGCCAATGGCCCAAAGAAGTTCAGAACTCTCCAGATATTTACAAACTTATGGAGCTAGAGATTCTAATAGATCTCTCTGGTCCTGTTTCCTCCTATACTATTTCTATGCATCTTATTTTTTCCCCTCGATAGCATGGATCAATCATAGCCTCTGAATCTTAGGCAATTTTCAGTTGCTGTGATAGAATACCTGAGACTGGGTAATTTATAAAGAAAAGATTTATTTCGTACAGTTATGGACACCAGGAAGCCCAAGATCAGGGACTGCATCTGGTGAAAACATTCTTGCTGCTGGGGACTCTCTGTAGAGTTCCAAGGTAGCACAGGGCATCACATGGTGACAGAGCAAGCAAGCCAGAGAAGGCTGGCTTTTATAGCAATGCCACTCCTGGATTAACTCATGAATCCAGTAACCTACATGTGGATTAATTCCTTCACCATGGGCAGAGCACTTGTGACCCAATCACTTCTTAAAGTTCCCACTGGTCCTATCTCTTAATACTTCATGATGAGGATTAAATTTCAACAAGAATTTTGGTCAAAACCTTGGTTGGTTTCCTATGTTAGTTCCTATGCTAGTTTCCACTGTAAACCCTCAAACTGGCAGATGTTTTGTGAGTGTGATACTCATTTTACTGAAGATCTGGGGTTTTGGGAATGGGTTCAACATTCCTCTCTAG